TCTTAGAAGCACCCCTGCTGCTCAGAAGGCGCGGGCCTCATCTATACATGTAAGGCCGGCGCCTTCTAAGAAGCAGCCTCCTTCTAAGAAGCCCTCCCCCCTCCCTCCGCCCCCTCTTGTGCGCACCGCCAAGAGAGGGCCCTGGCGCCAACAGCTGTGCCGGAGTCGCGAAACCAGGCCTGCCGCAGCTGGTGTTGTTCGGGTGGCGGCAGTTCCAGTTCGTGGGATGGGGCGGGGGAGGCGTCGGATGGGGCTAGGACGAGGAGGAATCCGTTCCATAGCTTTACGGAACGCTTTCAGAGCGTTCCGGAACGTTCTGAGAAGGCCGCGGCGCTCGAGACGTCCTCCAGAGCCGCCTGATCTCAGAGATCCTTCATTTGTCATCACTTGATTTTTTGTCCTCGTCCTGGCTTCGTTTCTAAGCGTCCCCAAGCGCACATCACTAAGTCAGGCCGCACGAAACTCAGCCCAGCCAATGCCCGAGCCGTCGCCGTCCTGGGCCAGTCCCTGGTTGAGGGTCGGGCTCTTAGAGGGCCCCGGAAACGGCCAGTGGGCCGTTTTACCGTTTTCAGAAAAACCGCCGCCTAGGAGTGGAAATGGCAAGAACTACGGTTCGCCCAAACCGGAAATAAACGGTTCACCGAAGTGGCTTGTGTAGTCCAGGGGTTTGCAGGAAGGTCGGATCCGGTTGGACAACGGTTTGGGCCCAGTAAACAGTTTGTGGTTTGGACCAGGCCCCATCAGAGGAAACGAGAACGGTAAAACAACGGCACCAGAATTGTCAAATAAACGGCGCTGGAAACGGCACAACACTTGAAAGCGAAAACGGTCATAAAAATACTGCTCTGTCGTTTCCAGGGCCCAATCAGGTCGGGCACATGGGATCTGCGGCCAGGAATTTCGGCTAAGCGTGTCGCGCCGCCGGTTCTGGCCCACCACGCCTCGGCGCGACACGCCGATCACATCCCAGTCCCCGAGCGTCAGCGTCCCGAGCTTTGCCTGACCTCATGCCCCGCGGAGCGGAGCGACACTCTATCTGCTTGCATGGCATAGCGTGCCGCTGGGGCCGCCGCCGCGACACGCTAAGCAGAAGCTCCCGACCGTATTGCCGTCGCCGTCCAGGTTCGAGCTTCGACGCTGTCGTCTCGGATATCTTTGGGTGTCTCGGGAGGTTCTCGTCGCAAGGGCCGGTGGGCGCAGCTCGAGAAACTGCCCAGGATGGACCCCGGGAGGGTCCAGGGATAGATTTTGGACGGATCTTGGCCGAAGCCCCTCGAGGCTCGAGGCATCGAGGTTCGAGGAGTGATGCTCATTTCGATCTCTCCGGTCGGGCGGTTGGCGTGTCGCGCCGCCGGTGCTGGCCGACCACGCCTCGACGCGGCACGCTATCGATCTCGGGTCCCCAGGCGTGCATGTGCCGAGCTCTTCCCAGCCTTCCGCCCCGCGGTGCTGAGCGACGCGCCATCCGCTTGCAAGGCGTAGCGTGTCGCCGTGGCCGCCGCCGCGACATGCCGAGCAAAAGTCACCACCCACCAAACCACCCCAACCCAACCCGAAGGCCTCAGCTCGCCCTCCATTTCCAGTGGGGGGGGGGTCGGGGGACAGCGAAAACACGCACATGGAGCCCGTACCCCTCTCCAACCCGAAAGTCGGCAGAGATTCGGGTCTTCGGGTTGGGTTGGGGTGGTCTGGTAGGTAGTCAAAAATCCGAGGCGGGAATTTATCCATATCCACCGCCTGGAGGGTCAGTTTTCGGAGCCTCGGCAGGCGGTGGACATGGACATCTTCGGGCCCCCGGGGGCCGAAATACATCCACATCCACCGCCCGCTGGGGCACCAGGACGTCGGTTCCCAGGCGGTGGGGTGGATGTGGACAAGTCCCCGCCTCGCAAGAAGAGCTCCCGACCGTGGACCTCTGCGGGCCTCCGCGGGCCCCCGAGGGCCTCGCTGGGAGCCTCCGAGGGGCGTCCGGGGCCGGGGTGCGTCTCGGCGCCGCGCGTGCCTACCCCCCCCCCCTGCCCATCCAGCAGCGATGCCCATCGAGCAGTGGCGAAGCGTCCTGGCTCCCCTATGTCGGAAACTGGGGCATATACATTACCAGCGGCGGGCTGTTTTTCAATCCCAGGGGTTTCTGAGGGTCGAGGACGACGTCGTGGTGGTGCGGTGTATGCTTGTTTCCCCGTGTTCTGGGGGAAGCGTCGACACAGGTATACACCAGGATCCCGTATACACCAGGATCCGCTTTATTGTTTGCAAGTTTCAGAGCAGGCCTGGAACATGCGTCGGTGTGTAGAGTTCGGTTCCCTACTATAGGCCTACCAAACAATGTTCTAATAACCTTGTGTGGCTTCCACGAAATGTTCTTGGAACTTTTCTGGCGGAGATTGTTTTGTTTGATCAGATTGGACTTATGTTCTAAGAACCTTGTTTTTGTTCTTAGAACATTTGTGGGTTCTAAGAACATGTCGTGGTAGGGCTTATAGGAATGCCGGGACGGTCGGTCCCTGCTCAAGCCCAGGCGAGTTGCATTGATCAGGGAAGCGCGGGAGCACGCAGTGGAACAGAGAGGGGAGGCAGCCGTCAAGCCTGTGGTCGGGATTAGCTTGTGCAGGCCCAGGAGTCTACCGTAAACGCCTTGGCGGATCTTTCGATACGGGAGCCTGTTGGAAGCTTATTTAGGCCATCTTGGGGGCCTCGGGGGCGCTCCTGGGACCATCTTGGAGGCCATCGATCAATGAAGGGGGTCCAAGGTGGTTACGCCCCCCCCCGTCGGAGGCCGGAAACCTGTTTCTTGGGGCCTTCTTCTCTTGGGGCGCCCTTGGGCTCGTGGGGCTGTGTAGTGTCCCTCTTGTCGATTACTTGAGTCGCCCCTGCGTGGGAATCATGGTCGGTCGCCATGGTTTGCAGAAGCGCTGGCCTCACAAGAGTGGCCGGGCAAAGTTTCCGCCAGACGCACTCATAAGCGAAGTATTTGGTGCACCACCCGTCAGGACATGTCAGCCAGCGTGGGCCCCGAACACAATGTCTGTAGCAGCTTATGTAGTGCAGTGTATGTGGAGCAATATACGTGGTGCAATCCATGCGGTGCAATGTATGCGGTCAGATCTATGGGGTGCAAGTTCATTTTGTGACCGTTCTGGAGCTGTCCTTTCCACTGCTCGTGCAAACATCCCACCCTCCCACCCGCAACTTGGTCGCAAGACCTCTTCAGACAACACGGCGACGGTAGGTACTTCATGGCACTTGGCCACGATACCGACGCCGACGACGACAGCGACAACGACGACGACGGCGCCGCCGGCACCGACTACGACGACACCGACGACGTCTCCAATGGCTTCGACGACGACAACGACGACGACGACACCGACGACGACGACGACAACGACGCCGACGACGACGACGATGACAACGCCGACGACGACGACGACGCCGACGACGACGACGACGACGCCGACGACGACGACGACGACGACTTGGCGGCGCGCACAAACATCCCCCCCTCCCACTCGCAACTTGGTCGCAATATCTCTTAAGACCGTGACGGTAGGTACCAAACGGCACTTGGCAACGACACCAGCGCCGACGACGACAGCGACAACGACGACGACGACGCCGCCGACAACGACTACGACGACGCCGACGACGTCTCCAACGACTTCGACGACGACGCCAACGACGACGACGACGAGGACACCGATGACGCCGAGGACGACGACGACGCCGACGACGATGACGACAAAGACGACGACGATGACGACGACGTCGCCAACGAAGACGACGACGACGAGGGAGGAGGGAGGACGACGAAGACAACGACGACGACGACAACAACGCCGCCAACGAAGACGACGACGACGACGAGGGAGGAGGGAGGACGACGACGACGACAACGACGACAACGACGAGGGAGGAGGGAGGA